AATAAAAAATTAAGGTTTTAAAAACTAATATAAAAATGGAACTGCTTTGATCGAAACAATTATTTAAAAAGAAAAATTATTTGTGAACGGTTTGTATCAAATGGGTTTAACCGTTCAATCATTTGATCAGTCAACGGTTCTTTGACTGATTCAATGTATTTTTGTAAAAACCCATGTTAGGTAAAAAATGGAACCAAATAAGTTCATCTGTTAGTCTGTTACTAGGTTGAACGATTCGGTTGCCCAGATCAATGACGGTGTATAAAGTAATCTTCTTGAGAAAAAAAAAATTGTTAAATTACTTTCTTTTTTATTCTTATTTCTTGCTTGCTTTTAAGATAAAAATAAAATAAAATAAATATGTGAACAAAGGAAGAATGAAGGGAGAGAGATTTGACGGGAAGAGGGTCCATGACTCCATGCAACGCAAGGAAGAAGCAAAGGCCTACTCAAAAAACGAGGCCCACCAGGACCAGAACCAGGCATCAGCTATAAATAATGGATGATTATGATGGGGACCATGTGGACCCACCGCCGCAACCGCGCACATGCGCCAACATGGCCGTTGCGGCCGGCTGCCAACCACCGCCTGAAACAGAGGAGTTGGTAGCGTGTGAGATACATACGAAAGTTCCATACTCGCTATACCCAATTTTGCATCCATAATTACTTTTATACCCTTTGATGATGGATAAGATGACTGGCGACTGCTGTGCTGAGCGCTGTAAGCCTGCAAGTGTAAGGAGTAATAAATAAATAAATAAAAGACCATCATCAATGTCTTTTTGATTTTTCATTGAGGCTTGATAGTGCACGATCTGAATACTCCTAGTTGGATGGCAGATTGAATATTGGTTGGTTGAATCACAAAGAATATTCAGTGGATTTGGGATGGTGTATTTAGTGTGGGCACTCTGATGCTTAAGTTAGCACTTGTTTGTAAGTTAAAGAGCTTATAAGTAGGAGAGCTAGTGAGCAATAATCACGCATACCTTGTAGTGTTGGGGTTGAAGCTTTTATATAGGCGATATCCCCGGCCCGTACTACTAGTAGTTCGTTCCACACTCGGAGGTGGACTTCATGTGAACTAATAAGGCTTATCGAGTCCGTCCAATTCAGGTGGGATAAGGATAAGGCTTATGAATGTGAGGCATGATCCTAGAGAGATTTGAGACAGTTGGCTAACTTCTAGAAGTTGGCTACGTGTCACCTCAGCAGGTTGGACCATCACAAACGGCTCGGACTTCAGTCTTGGTCAAGGTACCTGAGGTACCTGAGGTACCTGAGCTGACCTGGCCTATTGAGGTGACAGGGAATGCTGAATTGTCATCAAGTCAATCCATGTATCTGGGTGTTGACAGGTCAAGCCAAATTACTCCTCATCAAGGCCTTTTCCTCCTTATTTTATCCAAATCAATTCAGAGGGCGAAGGAGTTTTTCGACCTATCGTTGACTCGTCCGATTGGATTGATGATTTGAGTCGATGGGCCGATGGGCAATTACTCATTCCCTCGAAAGGAAACCTCCTTCCAGCCTCTCTCTGTGTTGAAACACTAATCCAGATGAACATAGAAAATAAACACCACAGAGAGAGAGAGAGAGAGACTGGTTTAAATTTATTTTCTATTAATAAGATATAGTATTTTGATCATCTTTTAGTTTAATTTATTAACGATATTCCTAATTGGATATCAATGCTATTAATATCAAACGGATCAGATTTGGATAGACTTTATAGTTCATTTGATCCAATCCGTTTGCAGCTCAGCTCAATACACATGGTAATTACCTAAGACTATGTTTGGTTTGAAGGAAAAAGTAGGGAAAGGAATAGAAATGCAGGGAAATCTTTACAAGTCTTGTATAGGTTTCTTTTTCCTTTCCCACTTTTTCCTTCAAATCAAACATAGCCTAAGTGATGATATGCTGATGGTCTGTTTGGTTGCACGTAAAATGAAGCAAAACTGTTACTTTATTTTTGGAGAGAAAAGCAAAACTGAATGCTTTCCTTCAAAATGATATTCAATAAATAACGAACTAATTCAGTAGGTATGATTTCTAGCTAGTTGTAGTTCCTACTTGGGATTGAATCCCATTGCCACTAAGGTTGGGGGTTCTGGATTTGGGGGATGATCTCCCCTTTTGTGTAGCTCCGTGAAGCAAAAATAACAATGACAGTCACTGGGAAAAATAAACCTAAGTATTTGAGATATAAACAAAGTTTTGCAAGATATGAATTATCTATCTTGATAACACCTTTTTAAGAATTAGAATGAGTATAATTTCCTTACAATTATTCAAATTTTCAAACCCTTTCACAGGCAACCAAACACAATAAAATAGTTATATTCAGAAAATATTTCCATTTTAAGTACAATCAAACGGACCCTAAATGTCATTTGCTTAGGTAGACATCAGAAAGGGATCCAAGAGGTCCCACCACCAGGGTCATGCATGTGTTGGTGGTGGGAGATGATTAATTAATAAGGTTTGAATAATAATTAGGTTATTAAATGGGGGAAGAGGGGGGAGCAACAGTTCAGTTAATAAAGACAGCCTTGTTTTGCAATTCTCTTTATAAGAAAGGGACTAATAAAAAAATAGAAAAAGTTCATGGAAGCTTCTTTTGTGTCTACCTAACATGTTTGAAAAAGGCAAAAGGTGGGTGAGTATTGAAAAGCGACCCTACTTTTTCTTTTATTTCTTTTCTTTTCTTTCATTTGGAATGGTCATTGTTCCTTGGAATTTTTGTTCCACAGCAGCTACCACCAATCCACCCTTTTGCTCTCTGATCACTGTCCTCCAATACCTTGATATTGCTATCTGGGTCTAGGGTTTACTATTCCTTTCATAGGTCAGGGTTTTTTCTTTCTAATCTCTAGTGTTAATCTTTTCATCAACCATTTTCTTTCTAGAATTGGTCAAATCCAACCTGGTGAGTCTGGGCCCACTTGATTAATTCATTATTCCAACTGGACCCCCTCTCCCAATGACATAAACATTATTAGATTAAAGTGCATTAGTATCGATTGATTGTGGGGTCCATTGTTCTTGACCTTTACTTGGCTCAGATATTAGCTATTATTTATATTGACTGGATGTATATGAACATGTTATTGTGGATAATCTTATCATGATTGTATGTATATACATGCGAGTATGACTGATGTGGTGCAAATATGGAATTTTTTTGGGTAAGTATTAATAAAGAATACATTGATAGATTTTAGAATAAAAAATTATTACTTTGATTTGGGGCATCGTTGGTGGATGGGAGATTCATTATATTATCTAAGACTGACTTAATTAATAAATGATTAATTAATTAGGTCTTAATACTTCCTATCCACAAATACAAACAAACCCTAGTCTAATATAGTTATAATACATATAAATTTACATGATTTCTTTAACTTGTACACATTACTAAGATATGGATTTGGGATAAGAGAACCAGATCGGCCAAAATTATATATATATATATATATAATATTAAGAGATAAATGAAGAGAATCACATAAAAAAAGAAGAAGCTACTATCTAGTTATACTTGATTGGTAGAAGATGGTACTATGAATAGTTTAATAATTCCCCCACCCCACCCCACTTTCTCTACTGCACAGACACACATTCAACTCCTCATATACGTATCAAGATAGAAAAGATATTATACGCATTTATATATTTTGTGGGAAAATATCTTATTAGTACCTTGTACTTTAGGCTTAGTGTCACTTTGTTTCTCAAACTTTAAAATGTAATAATTCAATACTTCAACAGTCGAACTTTTAAAATATGTCAATCTAGTGATTGCAATTAATTATTCATTAAGTGGCATTTGAAAAAGACACAAATACCCTTTAAGTGTTATCTAATTTTCTTTATCAACCATTTAAAGGTTGACAAAAAAAATAACAATCCCAAATCCGTGCCTCTTCTATTCAAGAAGAGTTGGGGTCACATCTTAGTGACCATTTTGATGACCCCAACTTTCTTGAATAGAAGAAGCAAAGATTTGGAATTGTTAAATTTTTGTCAACATTTGGATGATTGGTCAAGAAAATTGGATGACACATGGCATTTGTGTCTTTTTCAAATTTTATTTAATGGCAGATTAGGAGTAGGTATTGGACTTACACGTTTTAAAACTTCAGGTATATTGAATTGTCCATTTTAAAGTTTGAGGACCAAAATGTCACTAGACCCAAAATACAGGGTACTAGATGGGAATTTTTCGTCTCCTTCGCTTTTAACTTTGATGAGATTGGTTACCTACCCATTCCTCTTCCTCGCTTATCCTCCTCTCACAACTTATCCATCGATTCAAACGAGAAATCCTACTTTTCCTAAAGAAGACAAAACATAAAAATTGAAAAGAACTGAATTAAAGATACACTAGGAAAAAAAAAATCAAAGGCTACGACTTTCAAATATTATATGAAGCCCCCGCAAAAACAGTCACCAACAAAACCACAAGCATGATAACATATATAGAAACAGCTTGAGTAGTAGAAATGTATTACCCCAAAATTAGGATTTTATATCAAAGTGTAAAATAAGAAAAAAATAAAATTAGCAAACTTCAAAATTTTCATCAAACTTCACCCTAACCACATATATCTCAAATGAGTAGTATAGTCATGAAATCAGGTGAAGAAGATTCATGGGAACTATCAGCTGGTAAAAATTCTCCACTGCCTGTCCATTTGATGCTTCCAATTCATCCGGGTCTAGGACCAGCAGGAGGCAAAAGAAGTGAGAGAGAAATGACAAATAAATAAACAATTAACTTGTAGAGCCTCCTCCCCCCCATCCTAGTAGATAACTATTTTCATAATAACATTTAATATAAATGGAAGAACATTAATCTTCCAGTGTGGATTATAATAAAAAAAAAAACTAATTAATAGAAAAAAGTATTTCCAATATATAAATAGTTGATATATAAATCATGTCTAGCTACTTGTATTACGTGCTAATTAAAAATTGTACAAATTAGATTAAGGAGAAAACTAGAGAGATTTCCAACAAAATAACAATCTCTTTCTTTCTTCTCACCATTTCTAATATAGTTATTAATTAATACAAATTGAACATTCATTCTTATTTCATCTCCAAGCTTCTGTAATCCAAAATACTAGTTTTCAAGCCCAAGAAATCACTGGCGCTGCTAGAACCACTGCAGCTGCACTCTTTACTATTCTGCAAGCCCAATCTGCAAGAGAAACAAAGAGTTGTCCTCCCTCCACTCTTCAATGGCTCAGGGATCTGTTGTTGCTGCTGGCAAGGAGGGCTAATTCGAAGCTCAAGATTCAGGTCGGGAAACCGTTCTACTCTCCCGTTTTTCTCTTCTTCTTCGCACTCTAGTCTTCCAATGACCTTCTCTTCTTCTTTGGCAACCGCAGCGAAAGAGATGGTTTTGACATGATCAGATGCTGCTGCTGGTTCGCTAAGAGGTCGGTGAGTCGCCGGATCAATTCCTCGGCTCAACAGTTTCCTCCTTATGTGGGTGTTCCAATAATTCTTTATCTCGTTATCCGTTCTTCCTGGCAATCTCCCGGCTATGAGAGACCACCTGTAATAAATTAATAATTAGTTACAAAAACGATGAGTACCCAACTGCTGAAATTAAGAAAACATGAATTAAATTCGGTGATCGATAAAGGGCTTACTTGTTACCGAGGAGGCTATGTAGTTTGATGATGAGCTCGTCTTCTTCTTCTGTGAAGTTGCCGCGCTTGAGGTCGGGACGCAAGTAGTTGATCCATCGAAGCCTACAGCTCTTGCCGCAGCGGAGAAGGCCTGCAGCCTTGGGGAGGGATCGCCAACACCCCTCTCCGTGTGCCCGGATGTGTGCAATAAGCCTTTCATCTTCTTCTTTGGTCCATGCGCCTTTGTTAGTATGAGCTTTCTCACAACAAGGAGACCTCCCCATCAACTATTACTATACTGGACTACTAGCTAGTGCCTACTGGTTTGTTCTGGTTGTCTCTTGTTGCTGCTATTGCTATTGCTATTGCTGTTGTAAGTGGTGGTGGTGGTGGTGATCTGATTGGTGGTGTTTCTGGTGCACCAAAGCCGGCCCAGTTAGAACATGAAATGGGGATTTATAGGCTTTTAGAGAGAGAGAGAAGGGTGGCTAATTGCTTCTAGATGTGAGTTGGTGAGAAAGGTTAGAGGGACTGGACCGACTGGCTGGTGGTCTCTCTGTAGACGATCTAAACCTCATCATCATATAATAAGTTAAAAGGATCACACAACCATCAGTAACCTTCAGTTAGGTGTAAAGTAAGGTATTTTTAAGTATATATGGCAAGACAAGGCGTGTCCCAGCCTTAGTATGTCTAATCTACTCTATATAAATAATTAAGCTACCATACCCTCTCCCTCCTTTTCAAAAGATAAATTACATTATTACATATTTACATGTGGTCGTATATACATTTCCTGCTTTTAAAACTATATAATATTTCAATTAAGAGATCGTTTTGGCTATATAAATTATTGCTGATTTATCTTATGCAGTGTATAGATGAGCAAATTAATAACCCCCCCCCCCCCTCTAGTCATTCAAACATAACAAGTGATGCTACTCCTTAAACCTAGAAAAAGCGCTTGACTTTTTCAAGTTAATCCTTAT